ATCTATTTATTTGAAAGGAAGAATTGCAGGGAGAAAGTGAGAGACAGAGAGAGATCTTCCAGCTTCTGGTTCACTCTCCAAATGACCACAACAGCTGGGTCTGGGCAGGCGGAAGCCAGGAGCCTGGAACTCCATCCGGGTCTCCCATGTGGGTGGCTGGGTCCAATAACTCAAGCCATCTTCTGGTGCCTTCTTAGACACATTAGCAGGGAGCTGGATCTAAAGTGGAGCAGCCAGGACCCGAACTGATGATCATATGGGATGCTGCAGCTTAACCCACTCTGTACCCTCACCAGTACGTAGTGTTGTTATTTTTTCTGAGTGATTCTAACAGATGCACAATGATATGTTACTATAGTTTTTTAAGGTTTATTTATTTATTTGAAAGAGTTACACAGAGAGAGGAGAGGGAGAGGGAGAGGGAGAGGGAGAGGGAGAGGGAGAGGGAGAGGGAGAGGGAGAGAGAGAGGTAGAGAAAGAGAGAGAGGTCTTCCATCCACTGGTTCACTCTCCAGATGGCTGCAACAGCCGGAGCTATGCCCATCCAAAGCTAGGAACTTCTTCCGGGTCTCCCATGTGGGTCAAGGGCCCAAGGACTTGGGCCATCCCCTGCTGTTTTCCCAGGCCATAGCAGAGAGCTGGATGGGAAGTGGAACAGCTGGGACTAGCAGGCGGAGGATTAACCTACTGCACCACAGCACTGGCCCCAACAGCTATAAAATCTTAACAGCAGTTAAGATACCACTTGGGATGCCTGCATGTCACACCAGAGTGCCTTGTTCAAGTCCAGGATACTCTGTTTCCAATTCTAGCTTCCTACTAATGTGCATCCTGGGAGGTAGCACACGATGGCTCACATACTGGGTTGCTGCCACCCATATGGGAGACACCGATTGAACTTTGGGCTCCTGGCTTTGACCTGGCTGGCCATTGCTCTTGCAGGCATTTGGGGAGTGAACCAGCAGATGGAAAAATCTCTCCCTTTCCCTGTGTCTCTGATTTTCTCTCTGCCTTTCAAATGAAATTAAAATAAATATTTTAAAAAAATTAAATCTTGTTAAAACACAAAAGCACCATTTTTTTTCAAGACAGCAGAGAGCTATCAAGGTAGCCAAGACTTCAGAATCATAAAATCCTCAGGGAAGGGGACTAGTAGAGGAGTGAGCCTGACTTGCTGACGGCTCATGCCCTGGGCATCTAGTGACTCCTAAGCTGTGTATAGAGATGCTAAGAAAATAAAAAAAGCAGGTGCTAAAAGACTAACAAGCTGAGCTAGGATGTCAGCAGTTTCACCATCTAAGGGAAATGGAAGTTGAAGTTCAGGACCCACCAAGGAGAAAGGACTCTGGTAGCCAAATAAGGTTTAAGTGGCCATCCCTGAAAGGGGCGTGGCCTACAAGTAAGGGTTAGCCAGTCTTACCTGGATAAAGATGGTGTGCCCAAAGTCTGCCTCACTGCTAGAAACACACACACACACACAGCCACAAAAAAACCCTCTCTTCTGTGCAGGGTACCACCATCCAGAGTCTCATAATTTTTCACAGATGAGGTCTGACATTCCATTATGAAAGATTAGTAACGCCAGGAAACAGGACCACGTGACTGAAATCAAGGAACAAAACAGACCATGGAAGTCATTCTCTGTGTGACAAACAATCTTGAGTTTTTAGCCACAGATTTTTAAAGTGTGGGTAGTATGTTTAAGGAAGTATATGAAAATGTGGAAAATTTCATGACAGAATTAGGGTCAATAAAAGAGAATTTATTGGGGTGGGCATTTGGCATAGTGGTTAAGACACTGTGACGCTGTGGGTGTTCCAGCCCACGTCAGAGAGCTTGGGTTCAAGTGTCAGCTCTCCTCCCAGTCCAGTTCCCTGTTAATGTGCACCCCGGGCAGCACGTGAGGGACCAAGTGATTGGGAACCTGCCGCCCACAGGGGAGACCCCGACTGAGTTCCTGGTTCCTGACTTCAAACTGGCCCAGTCCCAGCTGTCGTGGGCCTCTGGTTTGTGGAACAAACCAGCAGATGGGAGCTTGTCTGTCTACGTGTCTCTCTCTGCTTTTCGAAATAAGTAAAAAATAAAAAAGTAATTAATAACAAAACAATTTGTTGTAAACTCTAGAATGGAAAAATAACTTAAAGAACCTAAAAGATTGGTTTAACAATATCAGATTCACCAGAAGAGACTAGTGAACCGGAAGATAGATCAACAGAAAATATTCAGATTGAGGCACACAGAAAGGAGCAAAGAGTAAAGTAGAAGTAAAGTAGAAGAAACACACAGAACGTGATAAAAGATCCTAGGAGATTGTCAACAGGGCCCCAGAAGGAGTAGAGGCAAGGAATGTGGCAGGAGCCGTAACTGAAGGAACACTAACCAAGAATTTCCCCAAACTAGCAGAAAACACTATGCCACACATTCAGGAAGCTCTAGGAATCCAATGCAGAATAAACCCAAAGAAAACCACACCTAGTCAAAACACTGAAAACTAAATGCAGATGCAAAAATGTTAAAATCAGCTGAAGTAGGGATGGGCATTTGGCCCAGTGATGTAAGATGCCAGCGCCCCGTAACAGTACCCAGGTTCGACACCCAGCTCCACTCCTGACTCAGGTTCCTGCCAGTACAGGCCCTGGCAGGTGGCTGTGCTGGTTCAAGTAACTGGGTCCTTGCCCCCCATGTAGGAGACAGGGTTGAATTCCTGGCTCTGAGGTGCTGCCCTCACCACAGTTGTGGGCATTTGGGAAATGGGCCAGTGGATGGGTACTCTTTGTCTCTCTCTCTATCTCTTACAAAAACCAATTGTACACACACACACACACACACACACACAATACATATAATTATATTGGCCAAAAAAAAGGAACATTATCTTCAAATGAGCAATAGTGGGACTGAGAACTGACTTTCCCAACAGAATTGATGGAAACCAGAAGGCAACAGAGTAGCATCTTTAGAGTAGAAAAATTACTGCAAACTTAGAATTCTATGGCTAGAAAAGTTAACACGAAATAGAGGTAATTCTTACACTCAAAAACTAAACACCAAGAGTATTCATTGTCAGCAAATATGTACTAAGAGAAATAATAATGGAAATTCTTCAGATAGAATTAAAAAGAATCCAAGCTGGAAGCCCAGAAATGGGGGGGGGGGGCAGAAAAGTGATATTTAAATCAAATGCACTGGTTAAAACAACAGCAATAAATGCCTTGTGGTATTTAAAAATCTCCTTACTGGCAGCGGGGTAGAGTGGGGTGGTTAAGACACCCACATCCACATCCCATGGTGCCATCATGGATTCCTGGCTCAATTCCTGACTCCAGCTTCCTACCTGTCTACACCCTGAGAGGTAGCAGCGATGGTTAGAGTGGTTGGGTTCTGGATATCCCCGTGAGAGATCTGGAATGGGTTCCTGGTCCCCAGCTTCAACCCAACCCAGTCTCAACTGTTGCCTACATTTGGGGGAGTGAACCAGAGAATGGGAACTCATTCTAGGTATGTCTGTCTCTCTGCCTCTCAAATTAATTTATTTTAAAAAGCCCTTTCTGTACTTTCCCATAAGAAAGGATTTATAAAAATTCATGAAAAAATGGAATTAAAAGAAAACACAAGGAGCCAGCACTGTGTTACAGCAGGTAAAGTCACCGCTTGTGGTGTTGGCATACCATATGGTTGCAGGTTCGAGTCCTGGCTGCTCCGCTTCCAATCCAGTTCCATGCTGATGTGCCTGGGAAAGCAGTGGAGGATGGCCAAGTGCTTGGGTCCCTGTACCCACATGGGAGACCTAGAAGAAGCTCCTGGCTTCAGACTGGACCAGCTCTGGCCATTGCTGCCATTTGGGGAATAAACCAGTGGATAGAAGCTCGCTCTCTCTCTCTCTGTCTCTCTGTCTCTTTCTCTCTCTCTGTGTAACTCTGCCTTTCAAATAAAATGAATAAATTTGAAAAAAAACCCACAAACTTTTCATGAAGTTTTACACATTTATTTGAAGGGAAGAGAGAAACAGGTCAGTCTGGGTTCTCCTTGTAGGTAACAGGGACACAAAGACTTGAGCCATCACCAGCTGCCTTAACAAGAAGCTGGAATTAGGAGTGAAGCTGGGACTTGAACCTAGGCACTCCGATGTGCGATGCAGGTGCCCCAAGCAGCATCTTAACTGCTAGGCTAAATGCCCGCACCCACTCTATGAACTTTTTAAAGTCCATCCAACAGCTGGATCAAACACCCACTGTCACTCAAACACGGTTTGTACGTTCTTGCCTCTGTGCCTTGGAGCTCTCCTGTGCCCCTCACCTGAGCCCAGGTTTATATCATAATACCTTCAGGAAGAAGTCACTGGCCATTCCTTCATGTGTGTCTCTTCTCCCATCCTTCTAACTTGTCTGGGTCACAACCCATGTTGTGTGTGGCTAAAGTGGCGCAATTATGTTCTCTTTTTTATTTTCATTTTATTTTGTGGGTCTTGGTTTCTCAAATAAAATGTAAATGCAATATCCTCTCCAGGCCTACTATGGGTTATCTATGTAGCTTATGTTCAATAAGTTTGTTGGAGAATTACATTTGTTGAAGAACATATAATAGGTAAGGAATGATTGCCCTTGTTTTCTAGTGTAAAATCTTCCACTCATTAATGAATTGCTATCCTAAGTTTTGATAAAGACAACCACTATGTATAAAAACAAGAAAAGCTTTAATAAGGTCTTTGAAGAAAGAACCACGAGAAACACATTGGATGCTCACATTTCTTCTTTAACCTTTTGAAATTGATTTGAGGGGCTGGTGCTGTAGTGCAGCAGGTTAAAGCCCTGGCCTAAAGCACCATATGGGCGCCAGTTCTAGTCCTTGGGCCCCTGCACCCACCTGGGAGACCCGGAAGAAGCTCCTGGCTCCTGACTTCAGATTGGCTCAGCTCTAGCCACTGCGGCCATTTGCAGAGTGAACTAGGGGATGGAAGACCTCTCTCTGCCTCTGCCTCTGCCTCTGTAACTCTGTCTTTCAAATAAGTAAAAATAAATCTTTAAAAACAAAAAAAGAAATTGATTTGATGGCTGTTTAATAAAATCGTTCTTGGTATCACTGTCAAATATTTAAGTTTGGTCAGAGTGTATCACAGGTATGGCATTTATCTCATTACCTAATGTGAGTCATTGTACTATTTCTGGACGCTAAAGAAATAAAAGGCACAGCCCTTGAGCTCTCTAGAGAATGTAAAATTTAATTGGAGGCTAAAAGATACACACACAAAACAACTTGAGATGAAATCCAAAGAAACATCTTAGAACTGCAAGAAAATATGGGAAATATGCCAATCCCCAAAAGACAAATATCCTATGCTTTCCCTGATTAGTGGTAACCAATATACAGAGTACAAAAAATGTAATGTATGTGAGCAAAATTGACGTTTGTGATTTGATTGTTGTTTAAAGCCCTTGACTATACTCTTCCACTTACTACTCATTGAAATCTCTATTTAGTGGAGAGTTAAGCTTGTGATTATAAAGTAAATTGAAAGTAAGTCACTGTAAAATTTAAAAGAAAAATAAGAAAGGAAGGAACCAGGAGGGTAGGAGTGAGGGATAGAAGGAAGGGTAGGAAGTATCACTGTGCTTTTAAAATTGTACATATGAAATGTATTCCCTTTATATAATGAAATGAAAAAAGGTAAATATGGGACAGTATAGATGGAAGCTTCAATAGGTACGGAAACTTAAAAAAAAGGTCATACTTGGCATACAAGGAATCTAAAAATTTTGGTTTTGAGGATTAGAAGGAAATATTTAGAAGAGAAGGGGCATAGGTATTTCTAAGCGCAAAGAAGCCCATAGTGGAGGCATAAGAATAAGTCTGTTCAGACAGCTCTCGGCATACAGGCTTGGGGAATTGAGGGCAAGTCTGAGGCTGGAGAAAGGCAGAGGGACAGCTGATAGAGGACATCAACTATGGTTATTTTTCAGATGGTGTGGGAGCCTCTTCCTCTTTTCAGGAGCAATAACCTTGACTGTCAACAGCCCCGTCAGATCCTTTAGTTGATGCAGTGACGACCCCGGCATCCTAGGCTATTATTTGCAATAATTTCTGCCATATGAGTGTAATGGGAAAAACACATTGCAAAGTGAATTACTTTTGAAATGTATTGGATGCTGACATTTGGGGAATTAGATCCTGAACACAATGCATCCTGATTATTTGGGGTGCCTGCCCACTATGAAAAGATAAATTCAAACAATACAATATTTTTTTTTAATCAGCATGTTAAATTTAATTTAAAATTCTGTCCTTTGGCAAGCTTCTTCTCAAAACTTTTGCTTACTACTCAGGCAAATAACCATAGGCAGGGTCTATGCCCAGCCTAAGTAGTCTACATGGGCCCATGGAATCCAGAAATGCTTTCATCCAAATGTGTCAGCCCCAGCCTATGAAGAATCCTGTTGGGTCTTCTCTTAAGTTCCCAGCTGCTTCAGGGCTAGTGAAGTCCCTGGCTTAGCTGGCTTCCATTCCATTCTCTGGGGAAAAAAAAGGGGGGGGGGTGCGGCGCCATGGCTCACTTGGTTAATCCTCTGCCTGCGGTGTGCACTGGCATCCCATATGGGCGCCAGTTCTAGTCCCAGTTGCTCCTCTTCCGGTCCAGCCCTCTGCTGTGGATCAGGAGTGCAGTGGAGGATGGCCCAAGTGTTTGGGCCCTGCACCCGCATGGGAGACCAGGAAGAAGCACCTGGCTCCTGGCTTCAGATCGGCGCAGCACCAGCAGTAGCGGCCATTTGGGGGGTGAACCAACGGAAGGAAGACCTTTCTCTCTGTCTCTCTCTCTCACTGTCTATAACTCTACCTGTCAAATAAAAAAAATAAAAAAAATAAAGAAAAGCAAAACCCAGCCACATTCTCTTATGAAGAACAAATGGCTCTTCACTTCTCCATTCCCACTCAGCAAATTCCTCTGGTGCCAGTGGCCCATCCATCCATTTGCTGTGGCCCTCCCTCCCTCGGCGTAAGTTTGTATGTTGATAGGCTGCTGGGCTGAGCAACAGTGAGTTCAGCGGTCCATATTCCAGAAGCGCAGGCAGAAATGAGTTTGAGGACAGGCCTTTTGCAAGATGCTGTAAATGTTCTTATTCCAGGTCAAGGACTTCCTTGTTTACTGAACATGTCCAATTTGTGTGCTGAATAGAACAGTGTGATGAGAGGAAGGGAAGATGGACAGGAAGATAATGGGACCTCACATGAATATTAGAGACTGAATCTGGAAATTAACTTGGAATGCTAAAGAGGCATGAGGATAGGAAAGCAGTAATGGAGGGAGAATAATTTCCCCCAGAACAGATTGTTATTTTGATCATTAAATTGATCAAAGCATGCATATAACCATGACTTTATGCCTAACAAGAGTACATGGCTTTATAAATGAATATAACAATAGCTCTTAGTTATGAACCTGTATTTCCAAGTTAAAGAGATCCTGTTTTGAGTCCTGGCTTTACTGCTTACCATGGTAACAATATTGATTATATTACTTAATCTATGTGTCCATTTTTTGAAAAAGATTTATTTATTTGAAAGGCAAAGTGGCAGAGAGAGAGAGGGAGAGGCAGATAAAGAGAGATATGAGAGAGAGAAAGAGGAAGAGAGATTTCTAATCCACTGGTTCATTCCCCAAATGGCCACAACAGTCAGGTCTGGGCCAGGCTGAAGCCAGAAGCCAATAACTCCATCCTGGCCTCCTATATGAGTGTCAGGGATCCAAGCACTTGGGCTACCTTCTGTAGCTTTCCCAGATGCATTAGCTGGATTGGAAGTGGAGCAGCTGGGACTTGAATTAGCATGCCAATATGGGATGCCAGCATCGAAAACATCTTAACCTGCTGCTCCACCATGCCGGCCTCTATACTTCCTTTTCTTCATTTGTAAAATGAGAATGGGAATAATATCTACATACTGGGGTTATTACAAAGATAAAGAGATAATACTTGTCAAGAGCTTGGTGTTGTGATCAACACGTTGCAAACAAAAGTAAAAGTTAATGCTTATTGCTTTTGAAATTAATGGAAATCTAATTTCTTGAACACAAATTGGTTTATATTCACTAGAAGAAATGTTTAAAAAGATCTTATACTGAGTCTTTAGGGGCATCAAATTATTACCCTTTATTTTATCTTTCTGATACATCTATAATTTCATTGAATGAAGTCAGGTTGCACCTGTAAATATAAATATACCTCTGATATTGCTGTGCAGTTTTTCCCATAGATAACTAGGCATATATTTAACAAATCATTAAGACAGTCTGCCATTTCCCCCAAAACAGATTAGGTGAATACCCCCAGTAGTTGAAATCTGGGCAAAATTTATGTACATACAAATGCATGTTCAAATAGAAATATATCTAGTGTTCTTAGTCTTCATTATAATGTTGCCCTTTTGGAAACTGGGAAAAGGGATTAAGTAGTTTGATCAAAGTGACTTGACTGGCTGGACACATCCTCTCCATCATTTACCCAAAACTTAGGTACTGCCCCAAGTGGAACTCACTATTTCAACCTGCAAACTCCTTCTTAAACTCCTCTTCTCAGTTAAGGACACCATCATCGACCCAGGGACCCAAGCCCGAAATCTATGAGTCATCCCAGACTTCTCTCTCTCTCATTCTCCATCACACCAAATCCTACAGCGTTTTAGCTATTAAATATTTGTTGAATCAGAACTCTCCTCTCGTCTACTCTTTGTCTCACTGCTTTTCGTTCATTTTTCGTTCACACTACCACAATCATCTCCCACCTGATCTCTGATACCAGCCACGCTACCTTCACAGCAGTCTTCAACAGGAAGACACACCTGAAACGCAGATTGTCCATCTCCAGTTTAAAAACCTCCAGTGGTTTCCCACTGCCTCTAGAATGAAGTCTGGATTTCCTAGTACAGCCTGTGATCTGGAAACACACTTCTATCCTAGTCCTCACTAAGTCCAATTAAAATGAAGTGCTCCTGTGATTGCCTCCCCTTTTAGCTGCTAGGCTCTTGGAAAGAAGAGGCAAAGTCTTTTCATCTTTTTATCTCAGCATCTGGTGGTGCCAATAAAAATGGTTGGACTCAAATGAGATGGTGATATCAGGTTTGAACTCAAGTGGATCAGCTTATAGTTTTAAAAGTACTTTTCACACTTAAAGTTGAGATAAAACCCACATACTATAAGATTTTAGTCTATTCATCTATATTTTAGTAGTTTTTAGTACACCCACAGCTGTACAGCCGTCATCACTATCAAATTCCACCATGCTCTGCCACCCCAAAAAGAAAGTCCTTACCCATTTACAGTCACTCGGCATTCTCCTCTGCCGATATTATCTGGGTGGGCCCAGTGTAATCACATGAATCTTCAAAAGTAGAGAACATTTCCGGAGGAGATGACGATGTGCAGCAGATCTGATGCCTTGTTGCTGGTTTTGAAACAGAAGAGGCCAGCTGCCAGGACAAAAGAGGTCTGCAGGCGAGAAGGGAGACTCCAGCTAGAAGCCTGTGAGGGAACGGAGACCTCAGATCTGCACGCACGCGGCTGTAAACCGCCAACATCTGCATGAGCTAGGCGGCCTCGGGAAAGGAAGACAGCCTTTCGCCCAGTAAAATTCTGACCCACGGAATTAGAGTAAATTGGTGTTGTTGCAAGCTGCTAAGTTGGTGCCTATTTTTTATAGTAGCAATAGAAAAACCAATGCAACATGGAGGTCTATAATTTGCTTTTTCATAAAATACTGCATCACAGAGATCATTTCATATTAATATGTTTCCTTATTTTTTGATAACTGCATTGTACTTTATTTAGATGAAAAGTAATTAAGAATATTATTTTTGTAGCAGCAATTATTACAAAACTAACCTTTGTCTTAGTGTAGGGTAGCTTGATGCTATATTCCCAGACTATCACTAGTTCCCTTTCTTCTGCCAGTATGGAATTCTTGTATCTGTGGTTACCCCATGCTTTAAAATGGTGTAATCCATTTTTGGAAGCTTTCCTCCTAGGTCTGAATGTTTGTGTCTCCCCCAGATTCACACACTGACATCCTAATCCCAAGGGGAACTTTTGGGTTGACTAAGTCATGAGGGCAGAACCCCCACGAAAGTATTAGCGCCTTCATGAAAGATCCCAGAGAGACTCTCACCTCTCCCACCATGGGAGCACACAGGAAGACGGTGCCATCTTGGAACCAAAAAGTGGGTCCTCACCATGCAGAGAATCTTCCAGCATCTTGATGGTGTATTTCCCAGCATCTAGAACTGCGAAAAACAAAACTTCTGTGTTTATAAGCTACCCAGTTTGTGTTCTCTTGTTACAGCAGTCTGAATGGACTCAGACAGTATTTGTTAACAATAATGATAAAGTTTATATTGGTACAGTGATACCAACACTAGGCTACACAAAACCCAGGCTTTCTTGGTAAACTTGCAGTAAATAACAGGTGCATAAAAGCAGCTTCATGAAGTGTGGCAGCTGAGGAATGTGTTCCAGCCTCAGTCGCTGGTCTAACGCCAGTGTGGGGAGTGGTGACTGGGACTTCGGTTACGGAGATTTCCCATCCAAGAGACCCCTGCGTAGGTCAGAAAGGGGCAGGTCAGTGTCAGAGAAGCCAAGAGGAATGTGCCAAGTCCTTACTCCTGAAGATAATGGAAAGTCAGTACATAGGAGGGAAGAAAGGACGAGTAGGACAGGGGAAGCTGAGGGCCAGTGCCAGCCGAGCAACCTCTCACATTCGTCACGATGACCGGCTTCAAAAACAAACAGACAAAAAACTACTGTGGAGCTAGTAAATGAGTTAGCAAGGTTGAAAGATACAAGATCAATATACAAAACTAATTATATATCTCTAACTCAGGCAATGAACACTCTAAAAAACATTTATTTGCAATAACATCAAAAATAGAATATACAAATAGCAAATAAACACATGAAAATGTGTTCAAAATCATTAGTCATAAGAAAAATGCAAGTCAAAACCACAATAAGAAACAGGTGTTTGGCAGGGTGATTAAGATATCATTTGGGGGGCTTGTATTCCCTATTGGAGTATCTGGGTCCGGGTCCAGGCTGCTCCCAATTCCAGCTTCCTGTTACTACTTACCCTGGGAGGCAGCAGGTGATGGCTCAAGTATTTAGGTCCCTGTTACCCATATGAGAGATACGGATTGAATTCCTGAATCTTGGCTTCAGTCTGGCCCAGTCCTAGATGTTGTGGTCATTTTGGAAAATCTTTTTCTGTCTGTCTTTCAAATAAAATGAATAAATAAAATTTTTAAAACAATGAAATGTCACTTGATACTCATTTGGATAGCTCAAGAACAGATAAGATAAAGTGTTAGTAAGGATATGGAGAAAATTGGAACTGGCCTATGTCGCTGATTAGAATGTAAAATAGTGCAGCAGCTTTGGAAAGCTACTTGGCGGTTCCTCCAATGTTAAACATGGAGTTTTTATATGATCCAGCAATTCTAGGGCATGTTCCTAAGAGAGGGAAAAATGTATGTCCACAAAAAACCTTGTACACAAATATAGCAGCATTATTCATAATAGACCCAAGGAGGAAACATGCTAAATGTGCATCAGTGATGAGTGGATGAGTCAAATGGGATACAGTCACACAACGGGATAGGATTCAGCCATACAGAGGAACGGTAGGGCAGGCATTTGGTGTGGGGGTTGAGACACTGCTTGGGACACAGCTGCGCAAACTTTTTCACATTCTTCAGCATGACCAGCCTCAAAAACAAAGAGAAAACCGACCATGAGGGGAATAATGAGTTCAGCAAGGTCGAAAGATACAAGATCAATATACAAAAACAATTATATTTCTATACTCTAGCGATGAACAATCTGAAAACAAAGACTTATTTACATCCCATTTCAGAGTGCCTGGCTTTGATTCCTGGCTCTGCTCTCAATTCCAGCTTCCTGCTAATGTGCACCCTGGGAGGCAGCAGGTGATAGCTCAAATACTTGAGGCCCTGCCACCCATGTGGGGAGATGTGGATTATATTCCAGGCTCCTGGCTTTGGCCTGGCCCAGCATTTGCTGTTGCAAGCATTTGGGGAGTGAATCAGCAGATGGAGGCTCTCTCTCTTTCTTTCTATCCCACCCCCTCTTTCCCTCTCTCTCTCTTTCTCCCTTTCAAATAAAAAAAATTTTTTTAACAAAGAGGAATGGGGCATTGATACATAGTACGTATGGATGACCCTCAAAAGATTATACTTAGTGTAAAAGCCACACTCAAAAGACCACATTGTGAATGATTTCACTTATATTAAATGTCTGGAGCAGACAAATTCAAAGAGATGGAAAGCAGAAGGAGCTGGCACTGTGGCACTGTGGGTAAGGCCGCTGCCTGCAGTGCCAGCATCCCATGTGGGTGCTGGCTCGGGTGCTGGCTGCTCCACTTCCAATCCAGCTCTCTGCTATGGCATGGAAAGCAGTGGAAGATGGCCCAAGTCTTTGGGCCTCTGCACCTGCATGGGAGACCCGGAAGAAGCTCCTGGCTCCTGGCTTCAGATTGGCACGGCTGCAGCCGTTGCAGCCATCTGGGGAGTGAACTAGTGCATGGAGGCCCTCACTCTCTCTCTTTCTCTCTCTCTGTCTCTCCTTCTCTCTGTGTAACTCTGACTTTCAAATAAATAAATAAATAAATCTTAAAAAAAAATAAAGCAGATGAGAGGTAGCCTAATGCTGAGAGGATTGAGGCGAAATGGGGAGTGACTGCTAGCAGGAAAGGGTTTCTTTCTGGGGTGATGAAATTGTTTTACTCTATTATGGTTGTACAACTCTGTGAATATATTAAAAACCGCTTAATTATATACTTTAAATCATGAACTTTATGGAATAAGAATTACAATTCAATAAAATACTGTATAAAAAAGATCAAGTGAAAAAGGCAAGTTAAGTACAAAAGGGGTCAGTTACACCTGAAAAGCAGATGAGTGCCAGAGTGTGTGGGACGGGGGAAAAATACGGCCATCCTCTCCCATTTCTGAAAGCACTAACCTGAGGGTTTATCAGGTTGGCAGGAATCATCACCCTGATAAACTGCTTTGAGCAAGAGCAAGGAAGGATCATGTAAATTTCCCTCCAATGAGAGACAATAGGGAACAAGCAGGTAGATGAAGAATTTTACATTTTCAGGTTCACCCCAAAATCCTGACTTTGACAAGGTTTTTCCATGTGGACTGCTAAGCTGCTCTTGGAAACGGCTCTCTAGTTCTGCCTATTCGGATCAAGGTCTTGAAAGCATAACTGAAAAGTGCTGGCATCGTTTATCCCAGTCCAGGGCCTGACTGCGATGCCAAATTTAGCCTTTGGCAACTTCTGTGGAGAGTCCCTGAGGACTTGTTTGACCTCCTTTTGGAAAGCTGCAAGGGAATTCACTTCTGGACCGAAGCCCAGCCATGGGGAGTGGCTCCGCAGGCTGCCTAATCCTCTATTAAGTTCATAATAAAGCATACCTGGGCACAGTCCATCACAAGACCAAGTACTCCTATCTGTGGGGTTTAGGCTAAGAGCTTTCCAGATAAACAAACATAATTCCCAACATTGAATATAATCAACTTGAAAGGAAGCCTTTCAAAAATGTATTGTACATATTCCTGTCTTTTTGCATGAGGTTTTTTTCAACTGGTAATAAAAGTATTACATGGCCATGATGGAAAACTTGGAAAGTCTAGTACCATTGTTCTTCTTTAGAGCTAACCATTACTAATAGTTTAGTGCATGTTCTTTCAGGTCATTTTCTATGTATTTATAAGCACAGGTACACACACACACACATGCACACAAACACTCACCCATAAGAATATTTTAAAATCTTTATATAACATAAACAGGGCACACTATCTATTGGCCCACTTGCTTTTCCATTAACAACATATCTTGAAGGTCTTTCTATGTTAGTACATATAAATCTACCTTATTCTTTTCTTTTCTTTTTTTTTTTTTTTTTTTGACAGGCAGAGTGGACAGTGAGAGAGAGAGAGAGACAGAGAGAAAGGTCTTCCTTTGCCGTTGGTTCACCCTCCAATGGCCGCCGCGGCCGGTGCGCTGTGGCCGGCGCACCGTGCTGATCCGAAGGCAGAAGCCAGGTGCTTCTCCTGGTCTCCCATGGGGTGCAGGGCCCAAGCACTTGGGCCATCCTCCACTGCCCTCCCTGGCCACAGCAGAGAGCTGGCCTGGAAGAGGGGCAACCGGGACAGAATCTGGCGCCCTGACTGAGAGAAATGTTTATATATTTCCATCTGCTTGAAAGGCAGAGTGACAGAGACAGAAAGAGACATAGAGACAGAGAGAGAGCTTCCATCCAGTGGTTCAAATGCCTGCAACAGCCAGGGCTGGGTCAAGAGCCTGGGACTCTATCTGGGTGGCAGGGCCTTATGCACTTGAGCTATCATCTATTGCCTCTCAGGATGCGTTAGCATGAAGCTGTATCAGAAGCAGAGGAGTTGGGACTGGAACTGGGCATCCCAGATGGCATCACTCTTATTATGCCAATCGCCTCCAAATAGCTATTCTTGAGCATGTACTAGATGAATCTAGGTTTGGCATGTCAGTTTCATTAAAAATCCAACTGTATGGGTAGCCATTTGGCACAGCAGTTAAGATACAGCTTGGGACATTCGTACTACCTGGCTTTGAGTCGGGACTCTGCTTTTGATTCCAGTTTCCTATTGATACACACCCTGGGAGGCAGCAGGTGATGGCTTAAGTACTTAGGTCCCTGCCATACACGTGGGAGACCAAGACTGAGTTCTGGGCTCTTGATTTTGTTTGGCTTGTCCCAGCCCTAGTTGATACAGGTTTTTAGGGAGTGAACTAGCAGATGGAAGATATCTCTGTCTCTCTGCCCTTCAAATAAAAAGTTAAAAGAAATAAAAATTATTTAAAAAGCCATAAAATCCTATTGTAGTTTTGATTGGGATTACGTTGAGTTACTAAAATACTTGGCATATTTACCATGTTGAGTCTTCATCAGGGAACATGATATATCTTTTCATTTATTCAAGTTCTAAAAATGTCCCTCAGTAAATATTTACAGTTTTCTTGGTGTGGGTATTCTGCACATAGTTGGCTTCTAGGGTTAAAATAATTTTTTGTGGCTATTATTAATGGGATCTTTTTATCCCATCTTCTTTCTATGTATTTTGTACTAATTGAGACTCTGGTGTATATAAAATTCTGAATCTTGTCTTTTAACATTTAACTTAGTATTATGCCAGATATATATTTCCTGATGAATACAAAT